ATTCATGAAACTCTGTGTTCAAACGCCAGCACTGCATGATGGCACATGCCTGTAGAGCATTCAGGAGATGGAGGCAGGAGGATCAGAAGTCAGAAGTTCAAGGTCATATTTGGATATATAGGACACACACGTCTAACTTGGACTACTTGGGAGAGAACCTGTCTCAATTTAAAAAACAAAACAAAACCAAACTCTCTAAACCAGCAGCATTTCAAGCTGTGGTATAACCATGCACTAGAGCAGCTGAATGCCTCTAAAGGAAGGTCATATGGTTAGAGAAAGAACTTCAACATGATGAGGTCGTGAACTCACTCTTATGTACATGAAGCATCCTAGTTAGGAAGGAAGACTAGATCTCTGGCATATCTGCTCACCGTTCCAGGATCTGTCAACTAGGCCAAGAGTAGAAGCCAGATGTCACCAGTGTCATTGGCACAAGGTACACAGACACATTAAACACGGAAGATAGGTAGGGCTGAGTCTCCCGAGACTCCTCATGAGCTCCACGTGGCAATGCCAGGCATTCCTCAGGCGCGTGCTGCTCGGTGTAACATAGCTGGAGTTCTAAATTGGGAAGTCAAGTCAGCTGTGCTCTGGATGCTTCTCTTTATTCTCATGAACCGTGTGTGTATCAGACTTGGTCAGGCTCGCCAGGCTGCTTCTGTTAGCTAAACATCAGCTAAAACATGCTCAAGAAGGATAATGACACTGAAAGGGACACTTGTCTGTGATGCTGAAGTTCATACACAGCTTCATGCTGCCAAAAATAAAGCCATTCCCATAGCACCGTAGAACTTCCTCTTTTCTACTGGGCACCTCACTCACTCATCTCTGGACCTCTCACCCCAAGCAAGTCGAGTGGCTGCTGGGCCTTCCCCTGTGCCTGCACCCTGGCTCTGTGCCTGCTACTGAGCTCACCCAACCATTCACTGCTAACAGCTGCCATTTGTATTTAGGAGTACTCTCAATGAAGAATGATATGAGGGGAGGGGTTAAACTTGTGCTTTAAGGAACTTGCTGTCTCTTTTTTTTTTTAAGCCAACAAATTCTTATTTAAGGGATTTTGCATGTCATTCTTTCTCTACCTATTGAGGTCACCCAGACCCTTCAAAGCTGAATTCAATGTTTCAAGACAGATCTTTTCTAAAAGGACTGATGCTTAATCCAGGCATGCTGTCAGCCCACATTTCTTTTTTTTTTTTTTTTGAGCTTCTTTTATTTCCACTTAAGTGCAAAACATATTCATGACTTCAAGGTTCTCCACAAGAGATATTACATATATAAGGAAGACTCCAGTGACAATGCAACGGGATGACAGTATTGATAATAAGATTCCTACTTTGAACATGAGGTCTGGCGTTGAAGACTCACGTCATACTGTAAAGGGATGATGTTTGTTTTGCTTTGTTGTCGTCGTCGTTGTTATTGTTAACAGTGTGATATCATAGGAATGAGTGTGGTCTAGATTCCTTAGTGTTAGGACTAGTGGAGTGTCAGAAACTGAGGGGCAGATCATCTATCCTAAATTGGACTATAAAGCAAATTGCTTCAGGAACCATTCTTATCTGCTGACATGAGGAAATGCAACTATCTCCTACTAGGGAAGTTCTCATAGCGGCCCTGCCTCCATGGATGGAACAGATCTGTGCCTCATTATTTCCTGGGTGAGGTCATAAGAACATTCTTGATGTTTATGATGCTCTGTTCAGTGAATTTTAGAGAATATAAGACTCCTGCTTAGGGAGCAGTACATTGCATCATGAGAGAGTAGCAACAAGGATAAATCCACCACTTCAAGAATGGGGACTCCAGAGATCTCAGCAGGGGTAGGAATGAAGATACCTGCTGGAGAGCTTGGACTGAGTCCTGGGATACCTGGCTTCTGGTGTGTGTTCTTAACTCAGTTGCCCTGTTGGACAAATCTCTTGACTTCTCTAGCACTTGAACAACAGGATCCCTTCAGAAATTTATTCTGTCTGTTTGGACCTGTGCTGCCTGGTCCCAGTTGCCTGCTGTCTGAGGATGGATGGTCTGTGCTAGGACCTATGGGGGCTACAAAACCACCCAAGGATAGATCCCAGTCCAAAGAAGAAAATGGCCTCATGTTCATGTTCCTCCTTCCATCCTGGTTCCCTTCCCAGGGAGCCAGTTCAAGGAAGCACCTTGCTGAACCCATCTCCTTTTTGCTCACCATTTCAGTTCTGCTGCAGGTTGTAGAGTTGAGCATCCCCAAGGTAAAGCTAAAGACAGCATCCTAGGGAACCCCCTCATGCAGTTCTCAGTCCTTTGGCATCTTTTTCCAGAGGACAGGAAACGCAACACCATTTGAAACAATCACTTTACACAGTGCCTGCATGCAATATTATTGAAGGCAGAAGGTTCTAGGCATCTTGAGATCAAACTCTTAGGGAGTTCAGACATGAGAGGACAGGATAGGACAAGAAGCCTAAGGGCTTTTTAACTGAGTGTGAATGAATAGTTGCTGCTACTTGGATGTAGGCAAAGGCTCTTTGGTTGGAGATAGCCAGGTTGACAAGGGAAATAAAATGATGGACGAGTCAGGGACTGCTTCAGAATGCAGGGTTATCCATCTTTCATCTGATAGGTTTGGGACACAATGTGCAAGGCAGAAATGGTCCTTACCCTGTGAGCTCACAGATTAGTGACAGAGACAGGAACCAAGTGAAGCGACAAGGAAAGATCTGTGCTTCGGAAGACAAAAGAGGATGAAAAGGATCACTGGGACAAGGATGTTCTAAAGATGCTAGTGGTCAGTGGAGACCCAGGAAGAGGCTGGGAAGGCTTAAGGAGCTAGAGGGAGGCTGGCATAGCAGACTGTCTGTAAAGGTCAGCTCACCAGCGTCTTGTCAACAGTGGTGTTTTGATTATCTTGCTTATTGCTATGATCAAATACCACAGCTCCATTTGAGGGGATCCTGTCCATCCTGGCAAGAGAATGCTGGTTGGTGTTCAGCTCCCTTTCTCCTTTATATTCGGTCCAGGACCCCAGCCCATGGATGGAAGGGGCTACCCACATTTAAGGCAGGTTTTTCCAATTGAATTAACTTATCTAGAAAATCCTTCACAGGCTTGTCCAAGGGTCTACTGCCTACATTAGATTAGATCCTGCCATCACCAGCAGTGTGAACTTGGGTTTTATTCTGTATTACAAATGAGGAACCAGAGTAGGTTTTGAAACCATAGTGTGGTTGCATTGTTTATAGTTTGAAAGGCCACATTTTCTGTAATGTAGATAGATTGTTGTCTATCACTGCCTAACAGATCATCAACATACAGCTATTTAAAAGAACACACAGCATTAACTCACAGTTTCCACTCATCAAGAACCCAGCCCCAGTCTCGCTGTGTCATCCGAAGGATGGGTACTGCAGGGAATGCCTCCCTTTAGCCCATGTCTAACAGATATCCAAACCCAGTTTTCTTGCATTTGTATCAAAAGTTGATTAAGCTAGGTCATTTTGGACAAGTTATGCTAACTCTCTTTAACCTTATAGCTTGCCCATCTACAAAGTAAGAATCAAAATACTGAAAGATTATAGCCAAGTGGAAACAGCCCATTGCCCAGGGGATACGAAGATCATCATAAACTGTATGTTTCATATTGTAAGGATTGAAGCACTGAGCAGAACACCCTTAAAGAAACATACAGAGAACTTGCCCTCTGTGTTGGATGCTGTGCCATGTGGGTGACATTTGCCTCCTAGGAAGGAATGTCCACATGGGAAGGTGGAATGACGACGATGATGATGATGATATGCTGAGTTGAGAGAAGGGTATCTGGGCAATGCAGCTGAAGGGCAAACTGTCAAAACTCCCCTCAAGTCACCCCCCCGTGGCCTAGGCCAGAGAGATGAGGCCGGTGTTCACCCTTGGGTGATCTCTGTAGTCTTGCTGTATCCTTAGGTGGGGTATGATTTAGATGCTTTGGGTTCCTGGTGCTTCCATTGAGTCCTCTCATGGTCATTGTTGGCCAAGGTTTATACTTCTTGAGTCTAATGTCCTCGCAAAGTGACTAGATCTCCGTTTGGAATGAGATGAATGCATTTGTGGAAGGATTTGATTTTGTGAATTAAAACAACACAATTGTATGAATAAGTCAGTTTGACAGATGAGTAAACTGAGACCTGGTGAGGACTGCCTACTTAAAGGTGGAGGCAGAGTTCACCTTTTCTCTCCCTGTGTCCTTGTAGACGCCTCATCTCATACACTTCGCTCATACACACAAACACATTTTTTTAAATTTGGAGACAGGGCCTCATATCATAACCTAGTAACCCATGATGGCTTGCAAATATATATGTATGTATGTGTGTGTGTGTGTGTGTGTATGTATATATATATATATATATATATATATATATATATATATATATACCCAGCTTCAAAGTCATTTTTATGGAATGTTTTTGTCTGTCAGACCCACCTACACTTTGACAGCTTTATGTATAATTCAAATTTACACAGAAAGGGGGTTTAAAAGACAAACAAAAACCTTGTTTCTCCCCATCATTATGAGATCTCTGTCCAAATGCGCCCTTGAGTGCCTGTACCCAGCGGTCGTCTCCAGCTGGGCTTTCCAGCCTAACTCCTGCCTTGAACCTTGAACTTCACTCCCCAGCACTGCTCAAAGTCCTCCCCTACCTCATCGTTTGTAATGCACTGCCTGCCCTCTTTGAGATCCCCAAAGGGCTGGCTACACAGGTACTCTTGTCTCAGCTGAGTTCTCCTTAATGCTCTGAGTCCACGGGTCTCGCTCAACTCTCCTGTGGCTGAGTCCTCCTAAGCCGCACCACAAGCTAGTGCCCCGGAGCCTGACGTGCAGACGATCAGCTGGAGGCAAACAAGCACCCAAGCGCAGCCTGAAGGAGCCGAGCTGAAGGGACCGTCAAGCAGCTGTCTCCACCCGCCCTCCTCCTCTTCCCTCCCCGCGCGGGTGACGCGCCAGCCCCCGCGTGCGCGCCTCCCCACCTCCCGCTCCGCCGCCGCGCTCGCTCCACGCTCCGCCACCGCGCGTCCGCTGGCCCCGCAACTTCACCCGGCGCCGCAGCAGCTGGAGAGACGCCTGAGCGCTGGGGCCACGACTGTCACCCACCGCCCTTTCCTTGTCGGCTGGAGGAGCGAGCGAGCACCGGCTGTCCGCGGAGCCGAAGGTGCAGGGCAGCGAGGGGCGGCGCGTGGGTGCCGAGGTGGTACATGCCACCCGGCACTAAGCGTCTCCGGACACCAGGAGCGTTCTCTGCAAGTAGGTGCATGCGCCTCTTAACGACATTCCCTACATCTGATTTTGCTTTCACCTCGATGAGGTGGGTGTGTGGAGGTGTCCTGGGCTTGAATGAGCCTGGCATATTAAGAAGATCCCTTGGGTGTCCGGGCGTCCTCGGTCCTAGAGAATCGGGGAGTCCGATGCCGGCAGGAGAAGGGAAGTTGCTATGCGCAGGGAGAGCCAAAGGGTGTCCCGGGCCGGGCCGTGGAGGAACCGGTTGAGAAGGTTAGAGAAGCTTGTGGCTTCCCAGGGCTGAGAGATCACTGTGACCTGAGAGATAGGAGACAGGACCCCGAGAGGGAGAATTCGCGGGTGGGATCGTGGGTGAAACCCCCCAGTTACCGAAAGACGTCTGGGCACCCAACAAAGATGTGTGATCCAGCTGAGAGGCAGGATCTCTATTTCCAAGGGCTTCATGTAACCCCCAGACTGAGCAACTGAGCTTGGCTGGTACCCAGCCACTTCAAATTGGCCACGTGAAGCCGGGCAGAGAGAATGGGAAGAGGGGACAAACCAGAAGAAATGTGCTGCTTTTGATGCTAACCTGTGTTTGGAAAGACTGGGGAACGGGGTCACACCTGAGGGCACTCCAGGCCTAGCAGGTGTCTGTGGCAGATATGGAACATGGCTGAGAAGGCCGGATTTTGTAGCTGCTTCAGCCTATTTATTACCTCATAGCTCCCTCCCACTGGTTCGTGGGCAGCTCCTCAGACCCCTCGCTGTCGAAGGGAGCAGGCGTTGAAATTTGCTAAGCAGAGCCATTCAGGTGTGAGAGTGCCAGGACTGTGGACAGTAAGGGCCCCTGAGTGAGAAAACAAGGCAAGATCTCAGAGAGCTGACTGGTTTTGTGTGGTGGGGGTGGGGCAGGGGAGGATCCACAGCCTAGTCTAGGGACTCTGGTCTAGGGGACACCTAAATGCTGCATGAGTAACTGTGAAGAAATATCAGTACTTTAGCCAGGGAAACAATGTGGTTGTCTTAAAAAATACATCAGCTGTCTTTTCTGCCAGCTCTCCTTGCAAAAATGAGCACCCGCCCATTGTTTCCTGACACAGTCATTTCTTCCTTTTTGATTTTGTTGTTTTTGTTGTTGGTTGACTGGTTTTGTTTGGGGAGAGCTTTGGTTTTGGGTGGTTTTTTTTTTTTTTGGTCAGATTTGCCTAGCTCCTCCTTCCCACCCTCACCCCAGTATTCCTACTAGCCTACTTCTCTTAGAGCTGCTTCTGAGACTCCCATTCATAGAGTTACGCTCCACCAGAGCCTCCTATCTGCTGTTACAGCAGGAGAGGTCAGGACACAACTCCCACAGAGAACCAGCATCCTCAGTCTAGTCTCCAGCGATTAATTGTAAAACAGCCAGTAGCCACCCTCCCTCTCTGGGAACAAATTGCAGGTGCTCGCGCGCGCGTGTGTGTGTGTGTGTGTGTGTGTGTGTGTGTGTGTGTGTGTGTGTGTGTGTACTTGGGGTGACAGTAGCTTGAGGGAAGGACCTCCCCCTGCTCTGTCTGCAGCTCCATCCAGCCTTCAACATCAGGATTCCTAGCTTCGGAGGTCCCGTTGGTAGAGATACAGCCTCAGGGTGGCTTTTGCCCTGGAAGTTAATACATTTATTTGCCCGTCCAAAAGTTGACTGTACCCAACCATCTGAAAAGGAACACTGGAGAATCTGTTTAGTCAAAACATTTCGCATGTGTTGCTTTTCCAAAAGCCCCCTGAGGGGTGTTGTTGCTCTCTTCCTCTGGCACTCTGATGTGAGATGTTTTTGCTATGAATAGTTTGTCCTCAGTGTAAATATAAAGAAATGCCCAACTAGAGAAAGAAAAAACTGTAAGTGTGGCCAGAGGACCTGCCTGGCAACCTGACTACCCAAACACAGGTTCCATAAATGGCTCCCTTCCTTTTGTTAATTACAACATAGAGTTATTTCCAACAGAGAAGGGACCTGTGCCCTGTCAGGGGTGAAATGTCCCAAGTGGGCTAGGAGGAGGGTTTTATGTCTATTGTTTGGATCTTGGGAGCTATAACTATAATAGCATCCAGGCTTCAATCTTTAGAATGGGCTCCTGACAGATGTGAGAACTAAATCTTCTTTCACTATCATGAAACCACCCCTACTAGGATAGTGACCAGGGCTCACCTACAATAATAACCATATACCTCCTTCTAATTGTAACAAGCCACTTTTGTTATTCTCTTTCTCCCTCCCTGCCCCCTCTCTCCACTGTGTGTGTGTGTGTGTGTGTGTGTGTGTGTGTGGTGTGTTCAGGTGTCTTCCCCAACCAGCCTTCACCTTATTAGTTAAGACAGTCTCACTGAGCTGGAGCTCACCAATTCTGCAAGATTAAGTGATCAGGGAGCTCCAGGGATTTATTTCCCTGTCTCTGAGTTCTTGGCCCTGAGGTTACAGGTATGCACCACCATGCCCAGCTTTTTACAGGGGTACTGGGAATCAAATGCAAGTCCCCAGGCTTGTGTGCAAGTACTTCACTGAATGGGCTATCTCCCCAGCCCCTCTCTGTTACATTTCAAACTCGTGTATACCCCACCTCTGCTAAGAGACGCACATACAGAGAAGGGCAGCTGTGGAAAGTGGACAATATAGCTTTCAGCTTTCACAGTTAGTGATCAGAGCTTTCTTACAGTGGTCCTTTGGGTTAAGGACTTTGCAAACAAGTGCTTCATTTTAGCAACCATGAATTCAATGGGTTGGAAAAATTAAAATGCTGTCTTATTTTTATTCTGAAAAGAAGCAAGAAGTCTGAAACCAGTCTCTTGCTTTCCTTGAGAGGAAGTAGGAGGGGAATCGAAAGTCGTTTTGTCTGCACAATGGGTGATCCTCGGGCAATGGTAGACTCAGTTTTCCATCTGGGGCTTCCTGTGCCTAGCACTGAGCAAGGCTTCATGCTTGCAAAAGATCCTTTACCAGGGTTATTCTCATATACCAAGAAAAGCTCTGGGAGTGTGGGGGCGCGGGGGTGGGGGGACAGCTTGTGTTTGAGGCCGTTCAACCAGAAAAGAATACCAACTGAAATCAGACAATAGGTCAAGGGAGTTGGGTGGGGGTGGGGTGAGGAGGTTCAGATAGGCAAGTAATTGGTTCCCCACAGACAACCATCAGTGTGGAAATGGTGCCGTAGAGCAGTTGTCATGCAAACAGCCCACAGTGTGATTATTAGGAAGATTTGTTCAGAAAAGGGAAAGGATTATGAGGCTGCACCTCTGTATCCCAGCGGAGCCCTGCTTTGAGCCTAGCTCCTCTCGGCTGTCAAATTGTATTCAGTTTCTCAAGACAGCATCCTCACTCTGAAAACCTCACTGTTAAAAGCTTGGGAACCTTCGTGGGGACTCCATGGAGCAGTCCATCCTATATCATGAATGAGCTAATTCAGAAATACCCAGGAGTGCTTGTCCCTCTTGTGCACCTCCCCTCTGAAGCCACAGCTTCCTCTCTGGGCTAACGGTCTTTGTTTGGTTGATTCAGTCACAGTAGGCTTATCCCACTTGGGTTGGAAGCATTCCCTGAAAATAATAGATGCTTTTCTGAGTGTGGCATCTATCTAGTAAAGATTTGTTTACTCATAGCTCCTTGAGGGTTTTCCCGCCTTCTAAGGAAACCCAGACTACCATGAAGAGAGGAAGTCGGTCCAGGTTGTTTTATTGTTCTTTGTTTACATGGCACCAGTGGGCATGGGGTGGGGGCTGGTTTGAATGCTTTCACATTCATTACGCTAACGAAAAAGGAAATTGGAATTTTTTTCACAGTGAAATGAGATGCAGTATTTCTATGTTGTCTTCCATAAGACCAAAATGAGCTCCCAGTCAGAGCGAGAAGTGCACCTTAAACAAAGGGAATGGCTTCACACTCTTTTAAAACAATGTAAAAAAATTTTGCATGTCCTAAAATACATATAAAAATTGATTGCCAATCACTTTTAATTCTGAAGTGAAATTTTTAAGTCCATTATTAAGTGATTTAGGGAAATACTATTTTTTTCTCCTGCTTATGCATATGTTCCCTGAGCATGTACTTGGGATCTTGCCAGAGTGAGATTTCTCCTCCAATATAAACTCATAAAGTATCAATTATAACTTCCAGGAAGTGCAGTCCAGAAGAGAAGAGGGAAGAAACAATTGGGCGACTATGTAGCTTTGCTTGTCCCATGTTTTAGTTAGTTCTTTGTCATAATAACAAAATAACTGATACAGGGTGCTCGTGAAGTATAGAGAGACTGTTTTATTTAGCTCACTGCTTGGAAGGCTGAAAGTCCAGATGACCTTAGAGAGGGCCTGGTAAGAGCCACCTTTTGTCTGCATCACCTCATAGCAGATGGTTCTCAGATAAGGAAGGATTAAGTAATGGAGACATCTTGAACCAGAGGCAGGGGGATCCTGGAATGCCACACTCCCTTCAGAGAGCATCTTCCCCGGGTAGCCTAGGGACCTCCCACTAGGTCCCAACCTCAAAAAGTTCCACCACTTTCCAACAGTGCACTTCTGGGATCCTTGCAGGTCACAGGAACCACACTCAAGTCATAGCCCTGCATATGTACATGTTGTTGTAAGACAGCTATTGATAGCAAACACAGCCCTTCACTCAGAAGCATTTGGGATTTGGAAAGGAAGAGGGTGATCACCTTAGGCAAAGAGCTAAGGTAGGTCAGAGAAAGCTGTGCCTCTTAGGAAAGATGGATGGAAAGGGAAAGAAAGACTTCCAGATAAAAAAATCAGTGAACTCCCTGAGGGCTCTGAGGGGATGTTTGGTTTGTTCCTGTGACCTTGTAGTTTTGGACCTAGCCAATGGAAGATATCAAATGCTAATTAACAACTTGTGAAACTGAACTTAAGAGCATGAAGCTAAAAGAAGACAGCGAAGGGCAGGGCAGTGAGAAGGCAGGCAGGCAGGGAAGGTTGCCTGGGAACAGTTGTGAAACAGACTGTTATCAATGACCGTGACATCAGAGCAAGATTGGGCCATGACC